AACTAGCATGGCTACCACAGCATCCTGCAGCGACATGCCATCCCATCCGGTTTGCGTTTAGTTGGACTATCATTTATTTTTCAACAGGACAATGACCCCAAACACACCTCCAGGCTGTGTAAGGGCTATTTGACCAAGAAGGAGAGTGATGGAGTGCTGCGGCAGATGACCTGGCCTCCACAGTCACCGGACCTGAACCCAATCCAGATGGTTTGGGGTGAGCTGGACCGCAGAGTGAAGGCAAAGGGGCCAACAAGTTCTAAACACCTCTGGGAACTCCTTCAAGACTGTTGGAAAACCATTTCAGGTGACTACCTCTTGAAGCTCATGGAGAGAATGCCAAGAGTGTGCAAAGCAGTAATCAGAGCAAAGGGTGGCTATTTTGAAGAAACTAGAATATAAAACATGTTTTCAGTTATTTCACCTTTTTTTGTTAAGTACATAACTCCACATGTGTTCATTCATAGTTTTGATGCCTTCAGTGAGAATCTACAATGTAAATAGTCATGAAAATAAAGAAAACGCATTGAATGAGAAGGTGTGTCCAAACTTTTGGCCTGTACTGTATATTGCTTCCCAGCAGGGAGGTCCAGTTGTTGCAGCAGCAGAAGGACATTAAGTACAGATAAACAGAAAGTAAAATAAATACATAATGAGAGGTATATAAAACTGTAATAAGAATAGAATAAAAACAAAGTACACAAGAGCATATGGAGACAAACTAATGTGGCTATAGGTAGTGCACATGCATCTCGCACTTTTTTTGTGTCCCTTTTTACCTTCCAGCTGTCTGCGTACACAACAGATACCTTCCATATGCACTGTATACTAACCATTCTCCTCTAAAATAAGAATTTAAACACTTCTTTTGTGTGCTTGAATCAAACAGAGTGTGCTGTGTTTTGCTTTGACAGCTCCAAAAAAGATGTGTGAGGGCAAATAAAAGCAAACGGACAAAGGCACACACCATAAATTCATTTGTTTGCATGTTAAGGGGCAAAGAGGGGATTAAATCTGTGACACAGATACAGAAAAAAAAATGCTCCAGGGTTTGTGAGTCAGTGACACAACAATAAAATGTCCTTTCGCACCACCTTCCAAAGCCGATGCATCTGTTCTTTAACATTTGGTTAACATAAAACATACCCCCAAATTCCTGAAAACATTCTGCTTTTCCTCATTGCGGCGTCTTTACCACCACAGACACCTCATCAATGGGTTTTGTAGGGCGGCTTTAAAAGGAAAAAGCCCTTTTAATGGTGAAATGTGACTTCAAGAAGCTACCACAACTTGGTGTTCGGTATAAACTGTACATTATGTGACTTAAAGATTCAATTTCTTCTCTCTCTTTTGTAAAGTCAGAACTGTCAGGCTTGTGTACGCTGATTTCCATCTGCAAAGAATCAAAACTTTAAGTGAGAGGGGGAAAGTAAGCAACAGAGTTTTTCCATCCTTTATGAACACTGAGAGTAAAACTCAGAATAACTTAAAGAATCTAATGCCTCGCAAATACAAAAAGTTTTGTCCAAGGTCAGTGCGTGTTGCGTGTTCTCTGCACATTGCAGATGAGAAGTAAAAATCCTGCCTCCATCTGCATAAGTTGCACAGCACAATGAGAAAAGTACTATACGTTTTTATTCTGGTTTAATTCAAAGCAGAAACTTCAATTCTTCAGACTCTATCAAAGCATCTGAAAATAGTCGCTCTCATTCTTTTTATTTCTTTGATTATGGGGTGCAGCGGGAGGGAGGGAAGGGGGGGGGGGTGACATACAGTAACGAGAGCTACAGTGAAACGTGTATGCTGCAGGCTTTAGAGCAAAGGACTGGTGCTTGCTGTTAACATTAAGAATGCATTTGCACTGCATCCCACCCGCAGGCGAGACAAGGAGCATCTGTCAAATGGTAGCAGACAGGTTTCTGTCTTGTGGGTTAGCAAATTAGCCCACAGTGTGTCAGTTCTGTTGTCTCACTGAAGTAAAAGGGAATGAGACTTTTCCTGATAGACTAGACTGGTATACCTCCTAGTTTTTGGCTGAGCACTACTTTACCAGAGAGTAGCACGTTGCCATGATTTAAAGCAGCCAAATGAGTGAATGTCATGTTGTACTTACACAGCATCTTAATGGAATTAGATTAATCATAGATAGATCCACTGCTGGTAAAATGTGATGTGAGTGTATTGTCTCTTTCACTCTCTAGCCCCTTTTACACTGCCTCTTCAGGGTGGGAATTTCATGTTGTCATGCTGCTTTGCCGTTCTGTATAAAAGGTATGATTGTGGAGTGGGGGGACAGAGTTGTCTCGCTTTTAAGCCAGCAATCTGAGGTACGAACAGAGCCGAAATGATGTCTGTATGAAAGGGACAGCCAGCAGGACGGGATCAGTGGCAGCACGGGTGTACTGTTTTGAGGGCGTGTTATGTGTCTGACCCACTGCAGAAGATTTAAAAAGTAGCTGATTGTAGTTAGCAGCTAACTTGAAGACGAAGAACATGGCCACAAATGTCCACAAATTGGGAAAACAATGAGGTCAGCTACCATAAAAGAGACAGTAAATGGTATGGTTCTGTGTAAAAATGCAAAGGGAACTTCATAGTGGCCCTGTAGTTTGACCTCTGTGTAAAAAGGGCTGCTTATTTCTTCTGTATCTTGCGTCATGTCATTGATTCTTTTCTGTGTCATTTGTCCCATCTCCATTCCCCCTCCATCCTCTCCTGCCTGTCTGTGTAGTCGGGTGGAGACCAGAGGCAGAGCACTGTACATAGTAATGCAGGCTGATTAGCATGGGAGCCACATGGCCTCCATAGGAGGGCTTAGAACTGATGAGCAGTGGGAGAGCACACGGGCACCTCAACAGAAAGAGAATACTGTATGAGGTTATTAAAGCTGGGTAGAATATATATCTCAATTTATTTATCACTTAAGGGATAGGTAACGAAAAAGTTCAACATTCAACGATACACATACAGGTAGCTTTAAAGCTCAACACGTTACATATAAAAACAAGATGTGGTTTATGGGGGGTTATGTGTCAGACTATTTCTCGACCGGACATTTTCATTTTCTTGTGTCTTGGCAAGTCTGTTGTTTTCCCTTGTGTCTAGTCTTTGTGCCAAGCTAAGGTAATTTCCAGCTGGTTGTAGCTTCATATTTAGTGGACAGATATGAGAATGGCATCAACATTGTCATCTAACTCTCTGTACGAAAGGGAACAAACATATTTCCCCAAGTTGTCAAAGTCAGTGTTTCCCAGAGGTTGACTGCTTTGGGGTGGCTGCAGGTTGGCAACAAGAAAAATATTTGAAAAGAACATTAAATAAAAGTATAAAAATTTGCACAAATGTAACTGTCAAGGTTAAAAAAAAAAAAAATTTCCTTTTTGCTAGTCACCATTATTACCATAAGTTTATAGCAGGTTTTATTGAAGCACAGAGAGGAGAGAAACTTGCTTGACCCTAAATGACCGCGAATGCAGAAAAGTTTAAACATTGTTTAAAAAAGTTTAAACATTGTGCAGAAGAGGTTAGAAGCCAAAAATGGCTTATGGAGATACCTCCCCTTTAAAATAACAGGGATTGTAAGTGAAAAGCAAAAGTTAAAAACAAATTTTAACTGATCAGAAATTCAAAACAAATAGAAATGTACTCATTACAAAAAATTGTATTTACATTCTGAAATGTATTACACATGCATCAGTAAAATGTTAAGGGTCTTTTTCAGATGTTTTTTGAATAACGATTATGTCCATGTTAAATGTAGTGAAGGAAGAAGGTTGTTCCAGTGAGATGGTCCTCTATTTCAGTGAATATTGGTTAAGGGACGTCCGACAATACCTTAGATTTAAGTGCTTAGAGTGTCTTGTGGAATATCAGTTACTGTCTGAGGAAGACTTAAATAAGTTCTGGAAAACACTGGGCAGGTCATGAGTCAGGTGTATATATTTATACATGAATACACATGTCTGGTATATGTTCACCTTAAAAACTGATATTGATAGTGATAGATATACGCTAATAATTTCTTAAGAGCGGAGCAGATGAGTCGCGTCTTTTAGCGAAGATAATCACTCTCAAAAATTTCTTTTGAATTAGAAAAATCTCGTTAGGATAAGTGGGACATGTGGCAGCCTAAGCAGTATCACGCAACATTATATGAGGATTAATTAAGCTGTAATAAAGAGTTAAAATACAGGAATGATTAACCAGTGAACATACTCTACATAACCGACATCTTTTTGCAGACAAGTTCAATACGATATCTCCATGTTAGTTTTTCATCTGCTATGACTCCTAGGAATTTAATACAAGGACCGTGATTTATTTCGATGTTGACTTTGTCTTTTATATGTTTTTATTTTTGTTATATTGAGAGAGTTTGTCCATCTGAAACCATTTGGAAATAGATGATACCTCATCATTTCAAAGTCTCCCCCACAAACACAGATCTCTTGGCCTGGTCCCATTAGGCTTGTACAATTATAGGGGAAACACTGCAAAGTATTCTTTAAGCAAATATGAAGTGAAGAAACAGTTGTGTTGTTCCAGCTGTTTTACTGGTGTTAAATCTCATTAAAGATGGATGTAAATGGGGCGTCCTGGTGGTTAACACACACACAATATTCTGCACTGATCACAACTTTCCCTGGTTTGTTTCTGACCTGTGCTGCATTCATTCTCCTCGTCCCCCTTATCCCCTTGCTTCCTGTCACCTCTCATACATCCACTATTAAATAAATAAAGGCAAAACTTCCTGATGATAAAAATACCCTACAATTCAAAGAACACCACTATCACTACATTAGCACATACCACAGCAGTGTGTTGTGGTTTGGTAGTTACGGTTTCAACATCAAGACATATTATACTTAAGTTACTTTGATTTATAGCGTCATGACTTTACAGCCTTTGGTCTACCTGCTGGATGCTTCTGTGGCTGATTGTGTCAGCAGTGAGTGATGAGGATGGTTTTCTGTGTTTGTGTGCGTGTGTGTGTGTTCCAGACTCAGAAAAGGATGACGGCGAGCCGGGAAACGGGATCGCCCAGTGGAGACTAAATGAACAGCTCTTCCCCTGTCCTGTCTGTGGCAAGGTGTTCGGTAGACAGCAGACCCTTTCCAGACATCTGTCTCTGCACACAGGTAAATAAAACACACCACCGCCGCACATTTGCATGTCTTTGTTGAATGTATAGATGTAAGCTGGTGTGTTTGTGCATGTGTACTTGTGTTTGTGCTGCCCACAGTAAGTAAATAAGGTTGACTAGACTAGATTACCCTTCCTTTAAAGAGATTACTACCATGATTAGTCTCACTGGGAAAACTGCCCGTCTAATTACCCAGCTAGAGGGATGCCTCACAGAGTATCCACACACACACACACACACACACACACACACACACACACCAGTATTTCTGATGCAGTCACGATTGGTTCCCTCATTCACTTTCTCTCTCGCACTCGGACACGGGAGACTTCCTCAGGATGAAGCTGTACACTCCCCTGTGTCTTGATTACACTGTGTTTTCAAACTTGGCCCTCCTTTGCTCCCAACTGATCCATTCTCTCCCGTCACTGTCTTCCGCAATCCCTCTCTCCGTCCTTATTAGGAAAATAAATTAATAAGCATCCCGCTTATGCAATTTTATTTAAAGCCAATGAACGCCGGATTAGAAATTAATGCAACCTACTTGGGATTGCAGACTAAATCACTGGGCGCACAAATGGAGACTCGTGTACAAAATGCCCCCGCACAATTGGACATGCTCTCACATTTTGCGTGCACACACTACACGACACACACACACGCCATCTGAGAGCGTTGGCTGTGAACAGCTTGGCCACACCACAGAGAGCAGAAGCAGGGGCATATGTCAGTGTGATGGTCTTTTTGGTTTCCCCGGCGACATAAAGGTTGCCTGGCTTCATGTCCTTGGGGCAAATGGTGTGTGTGTGAGTGTGTGTGTGTGTTTGAGGGGGAGCTAGAGGGAGAAGACATGTTGTTATGTTGATTTGTTGTGGGATTAAAGGAGAGATTGTTATTTTGCATTGGTTTTTATGCAAATTATTTTATAGTGCTGGCGAATATGTTAAAATTATGTCTGTACATGCCTCATATTTTCACTATCATCTACAGAATCATCCAGATGCTTCTCCGAAAAGTTGATTTTGTCAGACATCACAAGGTGTTTTTTTTTTCTTCTTCTTTTTTTTCTTCCTCTTCCAAGGATCAGAGTTACAGTTGGGGTCGGGCGAAGGTGAGGCAGGGTTAGGCATTAAGTAATTAGGTTTAAGCTTGCTTTGAAGGCTCAGAGGCTGAGTGCAGCTTAATGAAATATCATCTGAGGTAATGTTTACAGTAACCCGAGGTCTTTGTGTTTGTGTTTATTTTTGCAGAAGAGAGGAAGTACAAGTGTCACCTGTGTCCTTATGCAGCCAAGTGCAGGGCTAACCTCAATCAGCACCTGACCATCCACTCTGTCAAGCTGGTCAACACAGACGCCGAGCAGATCGTCAGCGCTGTTACAGCTGACTCTGCTGAGCGCAAGAACTGCCCCTACTACTACAGGTAATGATAACAGAGCAAAACACAACACACAAATCCTTTTAGGATGTCTCGAGCCAATATCAGGGGTCGTAAACTCTTTGAAACACTCACCTCACGCCACGAAAACAGTTTCTTCACATCTGTAGCTGGCCTCATCAGCGAGACACCCTCCCAAAATAGACTTCTGTCTCTATACGTTACATTAACAAGACACATTGTATACAAAACAAAACCAGCTCTTTATGGTAGTTATAAACAAATTCAAACACTAGAAACAGTTCTGTTTATGAAATGCCAGATAAATTTACTTGTTTTTAAAATGTTTAGTGTTTTAAAACTAACATTGTTATTTGTTTTTTTGTTTTTTTGTACAAAGCATAAATTACAGTCTGGCTGTAATGGGTTTATGAAGGAATATTCTAACTGGGCTCAATTACATTTAGCATGTTCGTAAAGAGTTTTCCACTACAAAGTCAGGTCTCATATCTGCGGCTATAAACATAGCAATCGTTTTGGTGATCAGGTAGGAATGTCTGCCTAAATGCTGCGGGGATAATGTTAGCTTGTAGCATGTGTGTTGCTCCTTGTTTCCGTTTTGTTCCACCCACTGACACACAGGGGGGAGTGAAATGAGTTAACATGTTTGAAATATTCCCATTGATGTAACGTACAGTTGTGTAGCAGATGTGACATACCGTTGTCATTTTAAGTCTCTCGCCATCCCCCTTTATGTTTCACATCGAAACCAAAGTGACACCCAATGCCAGACCTGTAGGTTATCGGAGGATTTTCTATTTGTGGTCTGGTTATGGCGTTACAGGTGTTACTAACCACTTTGTAACAAGCTCTTTTAGCGTAGCGTGCATCCTAGCATGTCTCATTGGAGTAGAATGTATTGCTTTGGGGTGGGATGGGCACACAGCGCATGGCATGTTACGTCGTGTGTAGTGGCGCTGAAAACATAACATTTCACACAGTTTAAGATGTATATTTTATTTCTGCAGATGTAATAGTATTGCAGCTTCCAAATAAGTTAAAAAATAGCCGCCCACAGATGCCATAACGGGAGATACGATGAACTCACTGTCTTTGGTTTAGCTTTACTCACTGTTTGATGATCCAGGGTGCATTGGTTGGTTTGAGAGTAGATTGATTTTCAGGTTTGCAAGATGGCGCTATGAACTGATTGTCTTGACTGTCGCGTTTAAAATAAATGGAAACAAGAATCCCCAAACAAACATTCCCCAAACAAAGGCCTTCACAAAAACTAATTCAAATCAATGGGGTATTTAATGATTTCATCAGACAACAGAATCTAACCAAATGGGTTGCGGTTAAAGACTGTAACCCCATGGCGTCGTCCACGCTCCAAACGTTAGCCCACCTGCCTTTAATCAAAGGTTGCCGCATTAGAATGACTCAAAAAATAATAGAAAACTAGGACTTGCTAGAAATGGCGCTAACAAATAGTAGGTCAACAAATTACTCGGCTCGTGGGGCGTCAGTGGCTTAGTGGTAGAGCAGACGCCCCATGTATAAGGCTGTTGCCGCAGCGGCCCGGGTTCGAGTCCAGCCTGTGGCCCTTTGCTGCATGTCATCCCCTCTCTCTCTCTCCCCCTTTCACACTTAACTGTCCTGTCAAATAAAGGCAAAAAATGCCCCAAAAAAATCTTTAAAAAAAAAAAAAAAGAAATTACTCGGCTTGTATTGCATACCGAGCCGAACGCCTCGCACAGAAAGGTTCAACACATGTATTGTTACACGCTTGTTAGTTAACCATCTCCTGGCTGTAGCTTCATATTGAGTGTGATTTTTAGTGTGTTAGTGTTCTTGATCTTCTTCTCCAGGTGAATGAGTGAATTTCCCAAAATGCTGTACTTGTGTACTGGAATACTTTTATGTGGCTAATGATGATCTGGAAAGAGTCAAATAGCACCACGTCTGCAGTGTTGAAATATTCAATAATCTTAATCAAATTAAAAGAAATGTATCCGTGCTGTACCACTTACCAATTTATGCAGACATAATATAACACTAAGGCTGACGGTCCCCCCCACCCCCCCCCACCCCCTTGTTATTCTCGCCATCCTTCCCTTTCCTCTCTGTTCTCTGTCCAGCTGCCATGTGTGTGATTTCCAGACGGAGCTGAATGCCCAGTTTGTCAGCCACATGTCGCTCCATGTGGACAAGGAGCAGTGGATGTTCTCGCTCTGCTGCAGCGTCTGTGACTATGTCTGCATGGAGGAGAACGACATGAAGAACCACATTAGTACTGGACATGCAGGTACACAATCCCTGGTGACACGTGGTGGTCCACTGGTCCTGAGTGACTGAAGTAATGAAATAGCTTCTCTAAATGTGTTGGGTTGTTTTTTTGAGTTAATCAGTTAGTTGTTTAGTGTATAAATTGTCAGAAAATAATGAAACACTCATCACAATTTCCTAAAGCTCATGGTGACTGTTCCAAATTGCTTATTTTTTTCTATCCAACAGTCCAAAACCTTAAAATTTGCAATTTATTACTATTACATAACAAACAAAAGCAGCAAATCCTCCAAACTAAGAAGCTGACAGACACTAGAACTTAAAAAAAAAATAACTAAATCGATCATTAAGACTTGATGATTCGACTTTTCTCTCGACTGACCAAAAGATAAATCGCCCTGTCGTTTCAGCTCTGGGGTAATGTTCCTGTGTTTGCTGCTCATGCAGGCTTCTCAAACATGTACTGAATAGTAGCAAAGTGCATGATTCAACCCCTAGGAAAATGATTTATGGAGTTATTTTCAAAATTACTCTCACATGTTAGAGTGGGTGGTAGCTTACACATTGTGGCTCTTGTTCACAACTCAGAATAGAAATACAGTGCAGTACTTGGACAGTGACACATTTTGTATTGTTTTGGCTCTGCACTCCAACACATGGGGTTTAAATTTAAACAGTGACTGACATTAAAGAGCTGACTCTCAATTTTTAAGGGTTTTTGAAAATTGTGGACATGAATTTTTATACACAGTCGCTCTGATTTCTGACAATGATGAGGTTACAATTCATTCAATCTTGGAGTGCATCGGCTAATGTCTGACTGATAAAGTCTCTGAGGAGTGCGAGAGACAATATTTCGGGCTGATCCGGTGCAGCCAGTAGATATACGGGCGAAGGCTTTCTCTTCTGTGCGCCAATCATTGCAGCTAATCTCTATTAACATATCTGCATATGAATGCAGCTACACTTTTAAAAAGCTAATATAAAGCTAACTCTTAGTCAGACAATAGCCGATGGGTTCCAAGATTGTATTTCAGCCAGTGTGTTCCGCCTCTTCACACACCACACTGTCAACCTGCTATTCAAACATGATTGGTCAATACTACTCAGACTACAAACGGAAACCTGAGCACTTCGGATGCAAAAATTTTGTCCCGTTGCCTACAGACTCTGCATACATACGCAGATATCTGTTTCTAGAGATAAAAAATCCTACACTACTCACTTGAACTGAAGCTCAAAGTCAGTATTGATTATGGATTCATCTGCTGATTATTTTTTACAAGTAATTGTTTGTTCTATGAGAGTGAAAAATGACAAAATTGACACATGTAAATGTATTTTGTCTGACCAACAGTTCAAAACAAAGGATATTTAATTGACTGTCAAATATGACTTTGAGAATAGTCCTTTAATATGAGGTATAAGATACTCTTTAAAATGAGGAGGCAGAATATGAGGAAAATATGCTCTATACTTGTATCATTACTACAGTAAAAAAGGTCCATGGTGCAGCTGTGTTTGAGAAGCTGATACCTTGAATTTGTTTTGACATTTTGCTTTAAATAATGACAATTAGCAACAATTAGCAAAATCTGTTCAGATAAATAGATTAACTAACTTACTCGTAGTTTCAGCTCTACTTTCAATTCAGATCCAAAGTGTTTAATTACAGAACCAGCACAATTAGCATCACTGTCTAAATACTAAATAGACTTTAATGCACCTTCCCAGTTTTTTACTGAGCATTAGTTCCAAGTCAAAACATCCTAATGTCCTAATGAAACAGTAATTTACACTTCATAAACACGTAGTTGTGTGTCAGTTCAGAGGACACGGGGAAAGACAAGCAGCAGAATTGGGTTTCACAAACAATCCTCCTCCAGTCGACCTTCTTTGGACTTTTAAAGCTGCTGGTGTGAACCCCTGGTGGTCGATATGAGTGTTTTTGTCTAAAACAGCTTTGTCCAGTTTATTGCTGACGTTTTGCTCTTCCACTGTTCCTCAGTGTGTGTGTGAGTGAGTGCATGTGCTGCTTGTGTGTATGTGTGGGTGGGTGGGATTGTCCGGCCTAGACAGCTGAGGGGTCTTTCAGAGGCCACAGTGGCCTTGTTTATCTGAGAAGGTTGGCCCTTATCGTGCCTGAGGGGAAAAAATCAATAGGCCTTGGGTCCTTTGGAGACGAGCTGGGTTTACGATGCCACTGTGGCCATCTTTTAAGTCTCTCAGCCTGGCTTGGCATTTATCTCAGTCTCACACAAGATGGACACCAACAACAAACACACAAATGTACAGAAGTGTGGCTTATGGTCACGTCCTGCTGCCGTCTGTATGTGGAGATTTTAGTAATTTGTTAAGGTTTTGTTAAAGTGTCTCTACTTGAGGTTTAAGGCAGCACTTAGAGTGAATCCAGATGGACTGTAAAAGGCTAGTTATCTGGTCAACTGTGTGGACACGCCCAGGCGGGAGATGGCTGTGCGCAGCAGGTGTCATAGTTCAAGCTGACCCCCTGTGAAGGCTGGACTCGGCACGGGGAGAAGGTTGGTTGGGTGCCCTTCTCTGTAGGGGGAAGGTGGTGAATTATGTGATGGTACTACTTGATATCTACCTTGGATACTTTGGCAGATAGGCAGGCTTTGCCTCTTTATTTCCGCTCCTATGTCATGATTGTTGCCGGGCAATCATAGACGAAGCTTTTCGTGAAAGAGAAAATGGAATATTTTTCAGTTAAGGTGTGTTTCAAGGTCGAGGCCCACTGGCTCAGAGCAGTGCCTTTTTTTCTCTCTCTCTTTTTGCTTATATTCTATTGCATTAGCCTTTTGGATATTATAAGAGAAGGCAAGTGTATGTTAAATACTGCAGCAGAGGAGATAAAAGCTCCCTCAAGCTGGTTCAATACTGTATTCAAAATGCTGCTAAAACTGCGGTGTGATTGACCCTGGTTTATTTAGATTTGATTGAAGGCAATTAATCATGTCTTCTATTACAGTATAATTGCTTGTGTGTGCACTGCATGTGTACATCCTTGTATGTTTTAGGCAACGTGTGTGTGTGTGTGTATGTGTGTTTGTGTGCCTGTATTAAAAAGATAGGTCAACCATTTCAGGATCCGTGCAGCCTTGCCTCCCTGCTTTCACTCCCTCCTGAGTGAATGCCCTTTGTTGAGCTGTGCCCTGAGATGCTCCCGCCATCTTAGCTCCTTCGGCCATGACCCGCGCTCCTCACCCCTCCCTCCTTCTCGGCCCCCTCCCCTTCTAATTCCCTCTCTCTTCGCAGTGAATTGCAGACTTAGAGAAGGGGATCAATAAAAGCACACTGCATCTTGATTTGACTGGCAGCAGGGCCTCTGTCAGAGCACAGGGCTGCCGAGGCTGCCTGCCTGTGTTCTGTTTGTGTGTATGCCAGTGTGTGTGTGTGCATGTATATAACGATGGGGTTCTTGAAACGGATTTTCAGCACAATTTCTGCAGGGTTTCAGGTAATATCTTTGCTCCAGGGGCTTCTTTAGTCAGGGCTGGTGCATTTGTTTCCCCAGCATTGCTTTCCATCGAAATGATAAAGATTTCTCACTTTCTGCCATCTCTCCTCTCGTGTCCAGGTCTGAACTCAAGGAGTCCCCTCAGTGAGACCAAGAGCACCTCCTCGTCACTCTCGGCCCTCAGCGACTCACTCAACAGCTCGGAGGGCGGAGACCTCACCCACGGTAACGAAGAACTCAGGGGCCTGCTTGCCCCGCCCTCCTCCGCAGGCAGCCAGTCCAGCTCTGGAAGCCACTCGGGATCAGGAACTGAGGACAAGTCTGACAAAGGCAAGGAATCGTTGGAATTAGTGCGAACACATACACTTCACCATTTTGAAGCCTCTGAAAACGTCTCCATTCTGTCTCTACAGCACTGTATAGTCATGACAGAATAGACAACAATAAAACAACACATCAGGTTATATTAATGAAGAGTGTCAGAGTCAAATCTTAGCTTATCTGCTTCATCTGGATTTTGTGGGTGTGATTTAAAGGGATTTGATTGACAGTGACCAAACAACCCACTAACTGTCATCAAATTCTGCTTCAGAAGTTGCTAAATCTGGATTGGTGCACACAAGTATTATTTAATTAATAACCCTCCTCCTATAGAGCTGTACTGAGACTAACCACTTACTCTTTGGTCAGAAATCTGCTTGCACTGGGTGACAGACCAAATATGGACATCGAGAAATAAAGTTGATTTGTGTAGCATATTTCATACGACAGGCTTAAACTCAACGTGCTTCAAATAAAAGGCAAAAACAGTAGGTTAAGATTGTACGTGACAAAAACATACAAGATAAGAAGGCTTTATTAAAAAGGGAATAATAAGAGTACTGAAGTATCCATTAACCACACCATTTAAACCTCTCTACTAAGAGCTTGAGGAAGTATTAGTTTTCAGTCTGCTTTTAAAAAAACGACACTGTTGTAACAGACATAAAGAAGACGTTCATTATTACTCCTGTCATTTATAAATACACCTGTTAAATCAGAACAGTTGGAGAACGATGCAAATGAGTTCTGAAATGACACGTTCATTTACTTAATTGCATTCATATGTGGCCTAGTCCAGGCAGTTTTTTTATCTTCCATTAAGTAACTTAACGGCACACTTTATACTATAATGTATGAAGTCTTCTGTGTGTCTTTCTAAAATCTAAGAAAAAGTCCCAGATGATGTCATCAGCATTATCTGGATGTACAGATTCCTAACCAAATGTTTACATTACAAACTTGGGGTGTGGAGTTTAAAAGTTGCTGGCATATGCCAGGTACTGAGGGTCTGAAAAAATATTTGTGAGATACATTGTTTTTGGAGCTCAACCCCTGTTAGGGAGTGATAGTCAGGATGTCTTCGCCCAGCTGTATCAATTTATTATATATATTCTTTTTATGTGAGTGGGCATCAGAGCATGTGAGCCGAGTGGAGCGGTGAGAATTTCCGCTCCTCGCTCACAGAACTGCTCGTTCCCTCCGCTCCTTCGCTCAAAGCGCTCCAAGCCGCTCCGCTCAATATCGCTCCGTGCTCGTCTCAGATTTCACCCCGCTCCACTCAAAAAAGCTCAGTTAGTGTTACAGGAATAGTGCACCTGTATGACTGCTCAGTTTCCTTTTGAAACTACTTAGGAAACTTGATTGTCGATCTTGCAGCGGCCAATTTTTGACAGGAAATTGTGAGTGTGTAAAACACAGACGCATTTAAACTCATGGTGTGAGCAGTACCAGAGTGAAATTGGAGCGGGATGGAGATGAGGCGACGCTCTGATTTTCTAAAAAATCTGCTCTGTGTTCCATCCAAAATTCTTCCACTCGCGCTCCGCTCACATGCTCTGGTGGACATTGTTGAACCTGACTTTTCCCTGAATCTGAACTCCCTTTGTTTCAGGTTCTGGGGTCAGGTTTCAGTCATGCTGAGTCTGAAGAGCACGATGAGCCTCTGCAACAAAATTATCAAATTAAAAATCATTGGAACAGACTCAGTCTTATCTCACCCTCTCCTCTTTCCTTCCCCTCCAGGCTTCGAGTGTGTCTTCTGCAATTTTGTGTGCAAGACGCGTAGCATGTATGAACGGCACCTCCAGATCCACCTCATCACGCGAATGTTTGAGTGCGACGTCTGCCACAAGTTCCTTAAGACGCCTGAGCAGCTGCTGGAGCACAAGAAGTGCCACACCGTCCCCTCCGGAGGGCTCAAGTAAGGAAAGCAAGTACAGACAGAGGTTCCTAACTCCGCCCGTCCTCCCCCTCCCTTACCCCCTCACCCTTTCAATTCACTACACACAAAAACACATACACAGTACGTACACAGTCACAGACAAATGCTAGGGGTGTGCAAGTTACATACGGCATATGGTTTCAGTAATTATTTTACATGCACCATTTAACTCATTTGATATAGATAAAACGATGCATGTTAAATAACAAAGGATACAAAAAGATGCATAATGTACATTATTCTGGCTGACATTATTATGGTTCTTTCACTAAGAGCTGATTGTAGCAGCCATACAGCTGAAGACAGAAATAGATTTGTGGTCCTATTTGAAGATTATTCCAGCCATGTGTCCTTAATCAGTTAACCTCACTTTAATGTTCATTATCTGCAGCCAGCAAATGAAATGATACAAGCTGTAGTTTTGCTCGACAGCCTCTCTTGGCAAGTGTAACTTATTAGACAGTGGTCTCTGGGTCTGCAGTGGCTGCTATGAACAGAAGGGAGAGTGGAAAGGAGATGGAAATGGGCTTCCCCTCAGGGTCTGTTGTTCCACTGCCCACAGCTAACAGCCATGCCAAAGAAAAAATGTTTGATGAAACCTGCATTCCAGAAAGCTCCCTTTTCCCCCCAATACAGACAGTAATATGAAATTTGTTGGCACACCCCTAGAAGATAATCATTTAGGAGAAGCACAAATGTCAGATCACTTACATCATAGCCATGTCAGTCCAAATGTATATGAAATTAAACTAATGCATGCTTTGTGATACACAGCGTGCATTTTGTGGAAACCCTGATAAAAAGCTTTTATAGCTTAAATACAGCATCCAAACCTACCCCACACAAATATATATATACAAACATATGAACATGTACTTAGGGCTGCACAATTAATTGATGATCATAAGGATTTTGGCTTCCCACAATTAAATGAACATGATCAGCTGTGATACTGATGTTTAAAATGCGTGTTCTGCTCATAGAAAACTCCGCTGGCTATCAATTCATTAACTGAAAGCCTCCACTTTTAATGTGTGCACCCTGCTGCAGCAGAATGAAAATCATCCCTTCATCAATGGTCACCATATGTTGTTTGGAAGTATTTCCAATTTAAAAGAGAAAAAAAAATCATATTCAAAAAGTGCATGAGACGTGTCCTCGCCACAAAGCAACACAACCAACTTGTTAAACCATCTGAAGAAACACCATAATGTGCGGTACATTAAAGGCCAAGAACAATAATGTCTCTTTACATTTCCTCACTGAATCTCCTTCTTTAGCCAGCATCAACTCAGACATCCATATCAGTGACTCTGTACAGCCCGTCACGATACCGTGACCCCTGTAAAAAAAAAAAAAAATTAAATACAGCGGTGGAAACATCCATCCAGCTCCCAAAGACGGACTAAAATAACCAGTGCAATCGCATTCCATGTGACCAAAGATATGTGCCAGTAAAATCTGTTTTCATGTGGTCGCATTCTGTAATGGCATTTTTATTTTTAGTCAGCTTATATTTTGGTACAGATATGTTACAGTTTATTTATATTTTGCTTTTAGGAGATGCACTGAATTTAGGTGAAGAAGAACTGTATTTTTTTAACCTTTATTTTTGGATTTTCAATATAAAACAAAAATGCTCAGTGCATCATTTTAAAAACTCAGTCACAAATATCTTCACAGGTAGAAAAACAAAAAAAGTCCTAGGACTGAAATATTACGAGTAAAATGAAATACATATATACAGCGATAGAGGGAATACTGCTACTCATTTAGACCGTTACAATTCACTACAGGGCTTCAAATACAATATTTGAATCGTATTCTTAATAGAAAACCGTAAGTCTTATGTTTTTACAACATGGAAGTAAAAGCTGTGCTCTGTTCATTTGCAGTAAAAATCAATCAATGAAGAATCGTGATAAATAATCGTGATCTTGCTACTGTGTAAAATAATTGTAATCATCATTCTGGCTATAATCGTGCAGCCCTTCAAGTACTCATGCACATTGGACATAGTTGTCTAATTCTAACAAGGCAGCCTCGCTCTCCTAATAGTGACTGTTTATGCAGCTCCAGTCTCCTCACATGCTTCCCTCTCCATCTCCATACTCCAGTCCCACAGGAGCCTTTGTTGTACTGTGACACGTTTATGTCCCATTTCAGGCCTGTCAAGCTAACATAAAGCCCATCTGTTGATCTCAACATCCACACCACACACTGATGATGTTAGTGTCTGAGCTCAGGCCAACCCAGGGTGGCAGTCGATAGCAAAACAGCTCCAACACATGACAATATTTGACTACATATTTAGGGGGGGGGGGGAATGCAGTAAATGAAACATTTTGTAAAGATTCATTTCAAGTAACACAAGCCATTTTTTTGTTTTTGAGTTGTTCTCATAACTCCAGTCTGTGCATGTGCAGAGTCATTAAGTATCATTATGATTACCGCCTCATCTTGTCATAAACAAAGATCTGTGTTCTATATCGTTTTATTTCTTTTCTTCCTGTGCAGCCATCAGTGGAGTTAGGATGTTCTGAACATTGCTAAATGTCTGGAAATGGTAGCATTTCACTAAATGTAAACCAGGAAGCTGCCAACACAGTTATGATGATTTATACTTTATACAAATCCTGTGGCTAACAGAGCACAAACACACAAGAAGCCCCCTTCATAGCTCAAAGATCTCCACACAGCATCTTCAGTCACTAACTCGAGGATTTGCTGCTAGCTGTAGAGTGTGCGTGAATACATGTACAGGAGTTTTATAACGGTTTTAAATGTTTCTTCTGTCTGGTGTTAATGTTTTTGAAGCCAGATTGATTTTAAGCTAGCTACTCAGAAGGGAAAGAAGCAGGTAGAGGATATTTTCGATTTTTTTTTTTTTTTTAATTCAAGGGAGAAAAAAGATGGAAGAAATGAGCTGTTTTGATATTTTTTATATTTAAAGTTATCAGAAAATATGCTTCTATGCTGTTCTGTTTATATCTGCACATGTGGGTTATATTTCCAGCTCTTCAAGGTTTACACAGTCTCTTAATTTATGTAAACCACATTTATATTTACTTTTAAAAGCAGGCAGGATTTAGCCAAGCAGGTGTAGAGAGAGTTAATGGACCTTAAGGGCAAACAGGTTTTAAATAAACTCCTATTGCCTATATTTTCTAATCTCCAACGTCCAGATCAAGATTTTTTTTCCTAGACCAGTGTGTACACGTGTATACACTTGAGCAATGTGAAGTGTTTCTATATATGTAGGAGTGTGTAGAAAGGGAGAGAGGGCCTTGACCATTTCGAGGTTTTTCTGAGGTGATTCTGTTCTGCAGGGTTTGTGAAGCGCTTTGGGGCCCAGAGCAGATGAAAGGTGCTATTTAAATGTAAGTGCCACTCCATTCCTTCATTTCCCTTCATGTCCTACTGCTCCAATCTTTTCTCCAGCCTGTCACCCCCCCTCCTCCTCCACACACACATATACCTGATCACTTCAATTCTCCCACCATTAAACTGCCACACATACCACCATGAGCACACAGAACTGTACATGATACACACTTTTCCTTTACCTGTCCTCCTCCTCTTCATCATTTTGTGTTATTAAATTTCAAGGTGTGTTATGTGGTTTTGAACGTACACTTTCCTTCAACTGTCCTTTGCTTTTGTGTGCTGTGTCCTCCCTCCCTGCTTCCCTTTTTGTTGCATTACTCAGGTGCCCTTTCTGCATCTACTCCACCAATCGTCCAGCGGCCATGGAGTGCCACCTTAAGACGCACTGTAAGATGGAGTACCGCTGCCGCATCTGCCAGGGACTGTGGCCCGACCAGGCCTCATTGGAGGCCCACATGCGCGGGCACCGCCTGGGCAACCACTACAAGTGTGAGCAGTGTGGCTACTTGTCCAAGACGGCCAATAAGCTGATCGAGCATGTGCGTGTGCACACGGGCGAGCGGCCCTTCCACTGCGACCGCTGCTCTTATAGCTGCAAGCGCAAGGACAACCTCAACCTGCACAAGAAGCTGAAGCACGCGCCACGCCAGACTTTCGGCTGCCAAGAGTGCCCTTTCACCACCACACACCCCTTTGTCTTCAGCCGCCACCTCAAGAAACACCAGAGTGGAGGAGCGGGGGGACTGGACGGAGGCTTAGGAGGAGAAGAGGTGGAGGATGATGAGGAGGCAGGAGAGGAGGAGCTGCCACTCCAGGGAACATCGCCAGGGGGCTCGTCACTGCGGAAGAGACAGGAGAACTTCCTGTTCAGCCGAGGAGGAGGGAGCAGCGGAGGGAGTGGGAGTAACAGCCCACTCATGAGTCTAACGGCGTCCCAGGCGCTCCAGTCCGTTGCCCTGTCACTCACACTGGGCAAGTCCCACCAGCTGGACGCCGGCAGCCCTCTGCACTGCGTGGTCAGCGCGAACGGCAACAACGCCACCAGAAACCCCGGCGGCCCGAGCAGCGGCAGCCCCTCCCTCTTCCTCCCCTCCTCCCGCCACGTGTTCGAGCAGTACAGGAGCTGCGACCGGGCGCACCTGATCCCCCTCACCACCTTGTTCACCCACAACAGCCGCTTCACATTCCACTCGCACCTCCACTCCAGATGGCGGCCCGCCACATCTCCTCTCCTCTTCTCCTCCAACTCGGCGTCCCCCTCCCGCTCTCCCCCCTCGCCCTCCTCCCACAAACACTCCTTCCTGGCCTACCTGGGACTGATGGAGAGGGCCAAGACTGTTTGACCTCGCCCACCTCCTCTCCTCCTCCTCCTCCTCCTCACTCTTTCCCTCACTCCTCGGACGGTGGTGTGAATGACACTTGACCACTGCAGTGGGAGCAACGTCTTTTCCAATCAGACCAGCAGAATAAGCTGGACCAGACAAACATATTGAAGAAAAGAAGAAAAAAAAACATTTATAAGAGAAAAAGGCTGTACATGCTAAAAATGCATTTATATCAAAAAGCTGCTTTTCTTATCAGTTCTATCAATTGAATTATTACTACTTCAACTACTACTCTCTATTACCTTTTTTTCTGTTTTTAAATGTCTGAATGACTTGGACCCAGTTGCATTATCTGAGGAAACTAACGTATCTCAGTTTTATAGATATTTTTCTTTAGTCGTTTGACGAGATAAAAAGATGAAACAAAACTTGCAAGTGCTATATTTTAGTGCATTTTTGTCTCTTGCTATTATGCATCGAAATAGCATGCCTGTGTTTCAACTAGCTTTGACGTCATTAGGAAGCTAAATTCGAGATATCCTGAAGTGTTAGCGGTGCAACGTGGACAGAACCAATGAAACGGAATGCTTTTCATTGTAAAAGGCACGTTTCCAAAGCAACGCCTCAAACCACGCACTTACTTATTTATCAGTCTTGTACATAGTTTTGTAGCCCTTCCCCTTCCCATCTTTTTGATTTCTGTTGTTTTTTTGTATAATGGTGAAACCATATTATGCATCGCTGCTGCCTGATATCACCCCCGTCTCGGAGTCATTTCAGTGGGTTACTAGCTAATTTTAATAGTTCTCACAAAACAGAAGATAAGCTGTGATGATGTAAATAAGACAAATCTGACCTATCCTGACAAGAAATATAGATTTATTGCTAATAATTTGAAAGTAAAATGTTGACTATGAATTTGCACTCGCAGGTGAATAAGCAGTGAAATAACGACACGACAAACAGAAACATGAATTCATTACGTCTGAGACCAGGTGGATATCAGCGCAGCTCCACATGCAGAACTATGTATGACGCACCTATACTTAGAAGAGATATATGAGATAACTGTTTTGTGGAGGTGACCAGCTCTGGGTTAGCGAGCTACCCACAGCCAGGGTCACCACAGGCCGATTCAATGGTGCTTTTTGGAGCTTTTTGTAATTTTTTGTGTACAAAAAAAATAAGAAAAAAACTGTTCCAAAATGACTTGAATGAATGTATTTTTGTTTATGTACATGAAAAAGAAGCGATACAGAAGTGTGAACAGGGACGTCTTCTGTGCTGGATAAAGACGGGAAAGTTAGTGTGTTTGGTGGCCTTCTGTGTCTTTCGTTTGTTTTTGTTTTTATTTTTTTTGTCTTTCAATTTTTTTTATTATTATTACTTTTTTTTACTGAGCCTTTTACATCATAATAAAACATTTTCTACTAACATTCATAGAGGAACCCATCGTGAGAAAAAAGCTCCTGTAGGTGCAATGATGAAGCAAAGCCATTCACTTGTACAGCGTTGCGTTCAATGGCACTGGCTTCTGTTAGGCCGGCAGACATGGTACTGCGTTTTGCCCCAACCCCCTTTGAGTTTCAATTGCACTTAACGTAGTTATACTTCAAGCCAAAAGCACTTAAATCTTTATTTTCCTTTTTTTTTAAGTGCAAACTTAGGTCCACCAGGTTACCGTAATGTGAAGTGGACAGTAGTTGCTGGAAATGACTCAATCAACACCCCTTAGTTTCACATGTAGGCATTTCGAGCGGTGCAAAAGGGTCTGCCTCTGTGAAATCGGAGAACGTCAGTGAATACAAATTGCATGAATTAGACAGTAGAGGTCAAGCTCTCCCTGGGAACTAAAGGTCCCAGGCTAAATTGTGATAGCCAGTTTTGCACAGCGCTGCACTTTTTGATTAAGAGAATATGTATTTATCCGTAAATTGCTCAAAAAGAAGTATGTTTGCGAGACAGGGCAGCATAGTACAAGCATTTTATTTTGAAAAGATGAAAAAAGCTTTACCCATTACTGATGGCGCTTGTGTTTGTAAGTGGTCTTCAAGCCAAAATCCCTTATTGTTAAGGGATTGGTTTTTTTTATTTTTTTATTTTAATTTTCCTTATGTTCTCCTTTTGTTTATTTCACTCATGCATTTTTCTTACAATGAATCATTGTTGCTTTTGTTTATTTTTCTACTTAAATCATGTCAGAAAAATGTCGATTGGACAGAGAAAATGAATTGTCGAGACCAAAATGTAAGTCGCCGCAGGATGTGATGTTAGGATTGAATCCGTCACTACCTGCCTCTGGAGCGATGCCTCGATTGTCCCCCTTTACACTGCTGTTTGTTTGTTCCTTTTTGCTCTATCAATGTCTGGCATGCTGTCTCTGGAGTGAAAGGAGCATCCCTTCAATACACACACACACACACACACACACACACACACACACACACACTCTCTCTCCTTGTACTATCTACGTTATCTTTTATACTCTAGTGCCACTTGGTGGAAGGAAACCACCTGAGACTTCTGAGAATGAGTCAAACTATTTGTCAGGGTCCAAAAGAAAAAAAGATGAATATAAAAAGAATGTGTCCACTCTTGACACCTTTTTAAAATGTCTGCCTTTTATTACAGCGTAATCATGAATGGCTGCACTTCTTTCTGTCCCCCCTAGTTTGAGTGTAATGTTTAAAAAGGCAACAGGGCTCTATCCTTTTAAAAACCGATATTCTTAAGCACTTATTCTGTTTTATTTTATTTTACTCGTAAGCAGCACAGTGACCTTTTTTTTTATTTTAAAGCTTAACTACCTTCTCAGCACTTCAGAGTATGCATGACATTGCCCTCAGCACTTAATTGTGTTTAAAACTAACTCCCCTCGGTTGCATTTAGTTAGCATCACACTGCACTGTCTACAATCAGTTAGCTTTAAGTTTGGCTGTATTTTATGATTAGAAAAAGGCTCAGCTATCTTTTGGCACTCGGTAAAGATTGGTATGTGCTGTACAAAGCTTTTTTTTTATTACTCCATTGTTAAGGCTGTACAGGGTTGTGACGATAACTGGTAAATAGATCATTTGTACTTTTTTGGTTTTGTATTTGTTTTCTTTGTTTGGCATTATTTTATGTTCAACTTGCCAGGTCTAAATGTAACAGGATTTGAAAGTAAAGCTTACATCAAATATTACGTCGCTTGTTTGTCTTTTCATTCTTTTGATGGTGAGTATCATGTGTATCCACGACCTCAAACTGTGTCTCTCTCTCACTTTTCTAAACATATAACAAAACTGTTACCTTAATTTTCCAAGCTCGCTGTTTCTTCTGTGAATATTTAAATGACCCAAATACATAAGTATTTGTCTCTTATGCATAAACACAGAGCAGTCATTTGGTTTAAGTTTCTAGTATATGTGCTACATATAACAGATCATTTTATACAGTGTGTGAGGTAGAGGTAGTCTCAGATCCCTTGGGGAGCTTAAGACATATTTCTAGTTATCTTTACTGTTACATTTATTTTCACGTTGAAAGGTGATCCACACAGACTATTCAGCCAACTGTGAGCAGGTAGCTATAGTATGTTGCTGGTGTTGTAGCTGCTAGCATAGATATAATACTGGTGCTACTGGTTATAGTGTGTAAATTAAAAATATACTGTAGGCTGATTAAATACATGTAACATTCGCAGTTCTTTTCTGCTGAATGATTGAATAACCTTGTTTTAGTATCCAGTCCAGTAAACGGTTGAAATAAAATAAAAATAAAATAAATAAAAAGTTCTCAGATAGTGTTCATGTCACTAAACAAATAAATTCAAAAATAAAATGGACCTGTGTTAAACTCATTTTTAGTCAGGACATAATTTCGGAAAAGGTCCTGATATTTAAACTGTTTAAAAATACTTTTGGTAAAATTACTTTTTCACAGTTTGTTAAATTGCATGGTGTTGGGCTTTCTGGATTCATTGATTTGGCTGACAAGAGCCCAGTCTGATTTGGAAGTAGCCTCCCAAGTACAGATGTCGTACGGTACTTAAAGGGCAAGTTTGGTATTTTTCAACCACGACCAACCAACCTTTTTCGACCCGATTTTTGTGCCAAAGTGATGAATGGGAACAACAAATTTTGTAATTGGTCCAGTATTAAGTGACATGACTACAGCTGGCGACGGTTAAACAGGCTGCAATGTAATCACTCTGTGCAAGTTTGCACTTTTGACGACATACGACATGCTATACTATGACGTTTTTTCCATGATTTTGGACGATATACTATACTTTAATTTTTTTTCATGGTTTTTGATGATATACTATACTATGACGTTTTTTAATGATTTTTGGTGACATGCTATACTATGACATTTTTTAATGATTTTTGACAACATGCTATACTATGACGTTTTTTAATGGTTTTTGGTGACATGCTATACTATGACATTTTTTAATGATTTTTGACAACATGCTATACTATGACGTTTTTTCATGGTTTTTGATGATATACTATACTATGACATTTTTTAATGATTTTTGATGACATACTTTACTTTAACTTTTTTTCATGATTTTGGACGACATGCTATACTTTAACTTTTTTTATGATTTTGGACGACACACTAGACTATGACATTTTTTAATGATTTTTGATGACATGCTATACTATGATGTTTTTTCATGATGTTGTACGACATACTATTCTATGACTTTTTTCATTATTTTTGATGACATGCTATACTATGATGTTTCTTCATGATTTCTGACGACATGCTATGCAATGACGATTTTTCATGATTTTGGACGATATACTATACTTTAACTTTTTTTCATGATTTTTGACGACATACTATACTATGACATTTTTTCATGATTTTAGACGACATGCTATACTATGACGTTTTTTCAAGATTTTTGACGACATGCTATACTATGACGTTTTTTCATGATTTTGGACGACATACTATACTATGACGCTTTTTCATTATTTTTGACGACATGATATACTATGACTTTTTTTATGATTTTTGACGACATGCTATACTATGACTTTTTTCCATGATTTTGGGCGACATATTATACTATGACTTTTTTTCATGATTTTGGATGATATACTATAACTTTTTTTTCATGATTTTTGACGACATACTATACTATAACGTTTTTTCATTATTTTTGATGACATGCTATACTATGA